AAAAAAAAAAAAAAGAAGAAAGAAATACCTACAAATGAAAAGCATGGATTCTCGGTCAACAGAACCTGATGTCAACTGTAATATGTCACTTGAACCTTGGACACTTTTTATGATCATATCTTAGGAGGTTTGGTTATCATCTTGGTAATTTATCCTGTCACCACCATTTTTCCTTTTTTGTTGTTTTCATACACAAACAGTAAAAAGATTGTGTATCTATCCAGTGACTAACACTTGGAACTGTCTTCCAATTACTACTCATGAAAGAGATTTTGCAAACTTGATTTTAGACACACAGTAGTATTTCGTGCCAATTAATACAATGTTTGATTATACGTTTATAGATTGTTGTCTGAAAACATAGCCCCCTCAGGACAAAAATTTGAGCAAGTTTGGTAATGTTAGCCAAGTTCTAAAATGTTCCCTTTGGCCAGACACAGTAGCTCACGCCCATAATCCTAGCATTCTGAGAGGCCCAGCCTGGTGGATTGCTTGAGTTCACGAGTTCAGGGACCAACCTAACCAAGACTGAGACCCCATCTCTACTAAAAATAGAATAAACTAGCTGGGCATGGTGGTACAGCTTGTAGTCCCAGCTACTTAGGAGGCTGAGGCAGAAGGATCACTTAAGCCCAAGAGTTTGAGGTTGCTATGAGCTATGATGACGCAACAGCACTCTACCCATGGTAAGTAAAGACTTAGTCTCAAAAAAAAAAAAAACACAAAAAATGTTCCCTTCTACTTCCCCAAGATTGTACTATTCAGACACTGCCTCCACGTTGGGATGAAAATCAGATCTACAGCAAGCAAAGCTCTCAAAATGTTTCTAAACTCGAATCTGAGGTGCCCTCCAAACAGCTTCTTTCCTCCTTTTTAAGTATAAAGGTAACCCAAGTGTACATCTCCATTCTTAAAATTAGGTTACATTAATCCCATCACTATTAAATCATTACTCTGTCAAAAAACTATGACTTTGGCTCAGTGCCTTGGCTCAAGCAGCTAAGGCGCCAGCCACATACACCTGAGCTGGCAGGTTCAAATCTAGCACAAGCCACCAAAACAACAATGAGGGCTGCAACAACAACAACAAAAAAAATAGCTGGGTGTTATGGCGGGCGCCTGTAGTTCCAGCTACTTGGGAGGCAGAGGCAGGAGACTCGCTTGAGCCAGGGAGTTGGAGGTGGCTGTGAGCTGTGATGCCACAGCACTCTACCCAGGGGGACAGCTTGAGGCTCTGTCTCAAAAACAAACAAACAAACTATGATCTACCATCACAGAGTGATTCCTCAACTTTGGTATGCACCTAAAAACCACCTGAGAAGCTTGGTAGAGGACAGCTACCCAGGTCTGAACCTCACAGATCTGACTGAATAGCATAAAAGGGGCCTGACCATGTGTGTTTTTAGTAAGTTCTCAAAGTGATTCTGATGTAACCTGAGGTCTTGAAATTCCTTGCC